ATTATGTAATTAAAGAGATAAGGAACTTATCTTGTGTTTGGAAATCACATTTGCCTTAAATGCTAAATAAAATAAATCAAGTTAGAATTAAAACTATGAATTTACCTAATTAATTATTTATTTTATATCACCTTGGAATGGGAAAATTCAAAAACTCGAAAGTAATGTTTTTAGATTTGTGCGTCGACTTCGAATATGGTACGATATTAACACCTATGTTTTAAAAAATTGTATTATACAGGTTGTGTATCCTTAGATGGGTACTGCCTCTTATTGTTGATTTCTTTAGATAGGTAAAATATTTATTGACACAAGTGTTGCATATCATGGATGTCATTGGTAGTGCTCATATTTGTGACACAAGGTGTTCAAAAAATTAACACAATGTAAAATTGCTGGAACCTCAAGGAGTAGTTGAATACGAAATTTATTTAAAAAAAACAACAAATCATCAGTCAATACAGAGATAAGATAATGCGTTCGCTACTGCTGTTGCAATTTTTGACTAACTTTTTTGTTTTTCGACATATTGACTTCGGACCGTTTCCATTCAACGCAAAACGAACAATCAGAACCAGAGTAGTGGGGAGATTTTTTTAATTATTTTTCAATTCAACGCACCTTTTCCGAATTATAAGACCTTTTTTATTGCATCACCTCACACACCTCTTCTTTCCGAAATTTATTTTCCACATACTGACTTCGGACCTTTTCCATTCAACGCAGAACTGACTAACAGAACCAGGGGTGTGGGGAGAATTTTTCAATTATTTTTTCGATTTAACGCACCGTTTCCAAGTTATACGGCCTTTTTACTATAACACGACATACCTCTTGTTTTCAAAACTTATTTTCGACATACGGACTTCGGACCTTTTGCATTCAACGCAGAAGGAACATACAGAACCCGGGAGGGAGAGGTTGACATTTTTCAATTATTTTTTCGATTCAACGCACCGTTTCTGAGTTATAAACACTTTTTTATCATGTCACACACCATTGCTCCCGATTTTTTTGTTGACATGCGTGTTTTGACGTTTTTCACTGGTTCACCATGGGAGATTTATTTGTTCACTATGGGAGATTTTTTGATACTTAGAGTCTAAGAAAATACTGTTTTTTTTTCTTTCATATATTGTGACACCCCGCTCTGCGTCACCCACCGAGTGCTCTACTCAGAACCAAGGGGAAATTTGTTTATATTTCCAGCCATTTCCGAGTTACGAGCAAAAAGCGGTTTTTTTTTCTTATACTATGTGACATCATAGATCGATAATGAAGGTTAAAAAGGCCACGCTCCCTCCCTAGGTATCCTGAAATTGCTGGGGAGACTCCTGAAGAAATCAGAGAGAGAGAGAGGATAGCTCTCTGTGAGGACAGATTCACTCTATCTCTATGAGGACAGAGTCACTCTATCTCTAACGCACACTATAACTCAATCTCTCTCGCACACAATCAGCCAAAAACGACAGAAACGAACCTTCTTTTAAAAATACATGGGATTTATCATTAAAAGAATAACCCATTTTAATTTAAAAAATTTAAAAAACTACAATGGGTTATTCTGATGACGAAAAATAAAACATAATTAACTGAATTATTCAAATAACAATAATGTGCAAAAGTTCTTCAGGAATATTGGCAAATTTACTTTGGAGGAAGAATCCCGTCAACAAACACTAAAAAATATTATTAGAAACCTTAGGTGGCCAGAAAACAGCCCCGATCTCATTGTCAGTCCTTTAGACATATTTTCTTTTCCCTNTCCTCTGAATATGTGTCTTGCTACCATCGATTTGTTTAGATATCTTCTTTAGTGGCAGTCTCCGGTTTTCTTCTACCGAATTCAAAACTAGTATTGGGGCTGTATCATCGTCATCGTGTCTCTTTTTTGGACTTTTTACGTTTTTAACATCACCAGTTAAATCAAATTTTCGAATTAGTTTTCTCAGATTTTGGCGGGTTACTTTAACATCTGAATATTTTTCATGAAACGATTCAGTTGCTTGGCTATACCGATATTGGTTAGGTAACATTTAACAAGATAAATGCGATGCTGTAATCATTATTTGAATAAAATTAAATACCAACACCTAATTTCACAACTAATGTCAAACAATTATTGATAACAATTGCCTTCTACAAATTATTGGTATTTTGATTATTTCCTTTGGGGTTTCTTGAAAGAAAGAGTGTACAGAGAACCAGTGCAACACAATGTTGATTTCTTGAAAAGCGGGATAATTGAAGGATTGCCCAAGTAAATGAAGAAATGATACATTCGACCTACGCTGCATTTAGAAAAAGATTGGAGGTGTGTTGAACTTGGCGGACTTCATGTAGAATAGTTTTGTAATGGCGCGTACATACTGATTCTGCTGTGTTCTCAAAATAAATGTTGGATTAATGTTTTTGAGGTTTTTGATCCCCCTGTATAAAAAAAATATTAATATGCAAACATGTGTATCTGTTTTTCGATAAAGCAGTATATTTTTTAATAGAATGGCTTCTCCGAAAGTATTAAAAAATAAGTAGAGTCCTAGAATATCACAGAATGTCGAGTATTAACTAGAAGGCCATGCTTTCATATTTAAACATAGAATTTAATTCCAAGCAACTTTTCCCCATTACTTTTTCACGTAGCCTTAAGATTAAAGGTACTTTACTCTTTATTGTTTTTACCTTTTCCAGATTTTTGAACACCCTGTACATTAAATTGAACAAATGGCTATCTTGCTAAGGGCTTCTGGACAATTCCCCACGTTGAGCAAGTTTAGGACTCTAAAAATAAACATATCGGCATAGTTTAGGAAACTTTTGTCTCTTGTATTAAAACCCTCCACCTTACTCCCCCTAACCTTCGTAAACTTTCTTGTTTAACCAAGTTTACATGCTGTGGTTGTCGCAAAGTCCACACAAGAGAATTTGATGTTGGAACGTGTTGCGTACACGTATAACTTTAAATGGGCACGAATTTAACTGTTTAACACAATACATCTGTTTAATTAAATTCTACTGTTAACAAAACACAAACAATACAAATTTTGTAAAGAAAAGAATATTATTATTCTTTTAGTACTTTAATTATGTCAAATTAATCATGGCTTAATTCAATTGTTATGTAAATTTGTGTGTGACTTTTGGTTGTGGATTTAAATGAATTGTTAATGCACAGTAATATCACAGACAATATAGCGTATCGCTACAGACTGCTACTTAAATGCTGAAAATTGGCAACCCAAAATGGAAGCAGGGTCTCCTTAGCCGGCTTCCAGCTATAAAATTTAGCGTGGTAACTTTTCTACTTGGTAATAGGCGGCAGTTCCAGCGGTGGCTTTGTTGCCAAATAATAACTGCTAAATAAATGTAATGCTTTCAATTATGTAATTAAAGAGATAAGGAACTTATCTTGTGTTTGGAAATCACATTTGCCTTAAATGTTAAATAAAATAAATCAAGTTAGAATTAAAACTATGAATTTACCTAATTAATTATTTATTTTATATCACCTTGGAATGGGAAAATTCAAAAACTCGAAAGTAATGTTTTTAGATTTGTGCGTCGACTTCCAATATGGTACGANTACCTACATTCCGCGACGTACTAATAACCCACCTTGTATATTAAATAAATTTATCGTCATCATCAAATATTAAAAAAATTATATTACAAGCTGTTTAAAATATTATTACGAATTTTGTTTGTTTGGAAATATATTTTCTGCAGTATTTCAATACCAAAAAATGAAAATAGTAGGTAGCTAATTAACGAAATTATGATAATAACTTAATTGTAACACCGCTGCAGAATATCATATGAAACTACATAGATATTCGTTGATTCTTTAAAAACATTTCTATCAATACCTACATCATACATTTAAGTAAATACAGTAACGCAAAAAAACAGATATCGATAAGAAAGTGTACAAATGAAATCTGTAAGTACATCTGGCAACATTACCAAAGTCTTGTTTATATGTTGCTAGGATACGGGTAGGTATGCGGGCCGCTGCATTTGATTCTTCCTAAAATTCTGTTAGTGGTGTACTCTACCGGCAATTCGGAAATTTAAAACTGCCGGCCTATTCCAGTAGCGGTCTGTGGCGATAGCTATTTTGTCTGTGGTAATATAAAACTTAAATATGTATGTATCGCAAATAGAAACTGGGTCATTATACCACACAAATTACATAAGTTTGTATCGTTGGTTGCTGATATTATATGCATCATGTTTTCATGAATGTGCATATAATTGTTCAGGTACATTAACCAAACAAATTTCATTATGTCAGAAAACAATTGAAATTTTCACTGATGCTATAAATTTCACCAAAGCAAATTACATTTTTGCATGGGACACCTGCCATTTGTCTTACAGAAAATGCGCTCGTCGGAAAGCTCTATAAATTCTGTGAGACACAGTACACGCCTCTAAAGTACTTTTCTGTGTTTCAAATATTCCTTGAGGATGTATTTTAACTCCACTTTTTCCTCTGCTTTCCCGAACGCGTTACGACCACTCCATCAGACGTATTTTTAAGCAAATAAGGGAATTACCGAGTGTTATGGAAAAGCAACATCAATAAAATAGTTTTGTCAAATATTCAGTATAGTCTTATGTCGAACTATACAAACTATTACAATGGAATGGAGCAATCTACATAATCGACACCTATCAAAATCATGGATTAATTGTCATTAAAACTTCACTGGGGGAAAGAATAGCAATTTTTCTTGTTCTTTTCGGAAGGTAAATAGATAAACCAAAAATAAAATAACTCCTACAAATGGTTTGATCCAAAACTTTTTTTATCGGTAATTTCGTATATGCCTAGGTAGACCTATTTTATCATTACAACATATACAGTTCGTAACCACCCTGTAATAGCTTTTTTAGAACTCATAAATAAATATTGAGTTAAATTGTAGCCCCATTTGGCAAAGTTGTCTGTATCTGTCTGTTAAATGTAATTGAATTGATCGAATCTTTTATTCCAGAGAACTGAGATGTTTGAGGAACACCATACACATGAACTTGATGTGGTCGTATATGTTGACGTACATCATGTGGATTATAGTTTTGTTGTTGGTGAGTATGAACCACTTTACTTCAAACATAATATTGGCATTACCAAAGACTTCCCCGGGCTGTTTCCAAACTTTGCAATACTCAAATTCATTGCTCTAATTGAACATACATTTACCTCGCCCCTGGGGTTACTGTGAAATTAATAAGGGAGTGTCTAGTATTTTCTCTTAAGCAATGGCAAAGCCGGATTTTGATAAGAAGTTTTACTAGTTGAATTATGAATTTATAGCTTAATTTATATATTTCCTTTTGCAAAAAAACTATAGTAGGATAGTGACTAACTTACTATACTGTAAAGCAATTATTGCCTTCCAAACTCTCCAAAGGGTTTGTTATATCCCCACTATTATTAGTATTGTTATTGCCATTGGTATTGTTATTGTAAGAAAGTTCCGATTGATTTTGTTCCCCCTTGTATCAATACCTGATTGAAGTTTCGGGTTCGGATTAATTTCAGTTTAATTGTGTTTTCAGTTAGCTCTGACCATTATTAGGGCATTAGGACTTGTTATAAAACCTGAGCGCCATACCCGCTGAAATAAATGTCCCAAACAGTTGGCAAATTTACTTTGTCCGGTGAACTGAACAGCTTCCGTTAATTGCTTTCCCTGGTTTGATCATTTCCGGTCAGTTTCTAATTGTTAAACTGATGACCTGCTTCTAGCATGTAAACATCACTCGGGTTATGTCTATAGTTGAGACGAGTTTTATTGTTCGCTCTGTACTTTTTTTTGCGCTTCGTGAATTAAACTGAATGTAAAACTGGATCTAAGGTTTTCATGCTCCAGAAAAATGACGGTTCGTCTATAATAATTTAAATGTTGTTTTTGACCTAAAAACAAGATGTTAAAAAAAGCACATTGTACATTTATTAAGATTATTCCTTTATAGTCCAGGCGGTATCTATTTTAAAAAGGTTATACTTGGGTAAAACGCATATGATCGGAGATTTTTGCTTTAACGGCTTCTAAATAACATCAGAAATGATTTTTCTATGCAAATAATAAAAAACTTAATTGTTATTGCAAAAAAGTATAAAAAAATAGCAAAAAAATTAATTTTTTTCTTGGATTTCTCGTCGACAACTTAGCAACTATTCATTTTAAACAAAAATGGAAAAGGAAAAAAGTTTTGTAATTAAATTTTGATCAAGATAGAGTTAGTTGCAATTCGAAAAAATAATTATTGTTATTGCAAAAATCGGAAAAATCATTTATAAAATTGCAAAATGTGTTAATTTATTTGTCAAATTTTTTCAGACACTTGAATAATGTGCATAGAATCTCCACACTAATTTTCATCCAATTCGGTTCTATAGTTTTTACGTAATACCTAATTGTTTATTTTTTTTAATTAAAAAATTGTCAAAATAAAATTTCTAAAAATCTAAAGCCTTTGAATAATTGAAAATTTCACCACAAAAAGAAGAGCTCTCAAGATTTAAAATGGTTTTTGAAAATTTCAAATCGGACGATTAGGTGAGCCGTGGTGATTGTTTAAACATTTTCGCAATTTTCACGCTTATAAACAATTGCAGTAATTTAATTTAATTTAATGTTTTCTTCAAATTTTTTTGAATATTTAAAATATGGTTCGAAAGTACTCGGAAAGACGAGTATTTAAAAAAATACCTGATGTATAAGGACTGTTTTTTGAACTAATAGGTTTGTCATTCCGAGTACTTTCCAGATCACGGTTAAAATTTAAAATGTCACTGAAAGATATTCAAGACCGCGTGAAATCAATGAAATATCAGTGGTGGGGGGAGCAAACACACAGCTACTCCGAATTCAAAACTGGGACGCTCGGAAGAATTTCACTTATCTCAGCTTCTAATGGACCAATTTCGATGATTTTTTTTAAATCGATGTCTCGCAACTAAAAAAATTCAATTATCATATTTTCAACTACCTTTTATTATTAATTATTGAACTTTTAACATGCCGATAAACAGTTACTAAAAAATGATTTAATTTATTATGTTTATTTATTTACTATGTCACGACCAAAATTTTTGCATGTTGCACCAGGTAATACTAGTAAGTTTGTTTATATATTATAAAATTGTTTAAACAATAATTATTTAAATAAACAACTGAAAATTGGTGTTAATTTTTAGTTGTACGATAAATTTCTAAAAATCTTTAAAAAAATAAATTGTGAATAATTATAATCTTAATTTTTTCGTTTACGTTTAAAATATTTAACTAAAATTTATTTTTTATTTATATAAAAAAATATAAGAATCTTTTGGATACTTCAATAAACAGTACACACTTTTCATGATTTTTCAAATTTTAAACTATTTATTTCAATTTTTATTTACATTTAATCTAATCTAATTCTTTTACTAGTTGGTGATTTTTCACATGCCTCATCAGTATTATCACAATCTATTTCGTCGTCGATTTCCTCGTCCTGCAACTGCAAAATATCATTTTCTAACGACTCTGAAATCTGATTGTCGAGTTCATTTGCACATTCTTGTGACGTCTTCTTCAAAATCGATTTCGAACTCGTCTACTTCCACTGTTTTGAAAGCATTTTTACACATTTGCCCTTGGCAATGGGTGCAATACTCGGAGCATTTTTGAACTCGAGAATTCAAATCGGAGTAGCTGTGTGTTTCCTCCCCCCCTCCACTGATATTTCATTCACATTTTAAATGGGACGTCCGTGATTGCAAATTTTGAAAATTTATATCTGGAAAGTACTCTGAATGACAAACCTATTAATTCAAAAAACAGCCCTTATACCCTTATAGTTTTGTTGTAAATAAGGGTTAACTTTAACGGGCTATAAATCCGAAAATAATAGGCGGATCATCAGGTTTTTTTTTAAATACTCGTCTTTCCGAGTACTTTCAAACCATATTTTAAAATAAAAAAACATTAAATGTTTAAATCACCACGGCTCACCTAACCGTCCGATTCGAATTTTTCAAAAACCATTTTAAAGCTTGAGAGCTCTTCTTTTTGTGGCGAAATTTTCAAGTATTCAAAGGCTTTAGATTTTTAGAAATTTGATTTTAAAAAATTTTATTATTCAAGTGTCTGAAAAAAATTGGCAAATAAACTAGCATTTTTGCAATTTTATAAATGAGTTCTCCGATTTTTGCAATAACAATAATTATTTTTTCGAATTGCAACTAACTCTGTGTTGATCAAAATTTAATTATAAAACTTTTTTCCTTTTCCATTTTTGTCTAAAATGAATAGTAGCTAAGTTGTCGACGAGAAATTCAAGAAAAAAATGAATTTTTTAGCTAGTTTTCTATATTTTTTTTCAATAACAATTTAAGCCCACGTTTTTTTTTTTATTTGCATAGAAATATTATCATTTCTGATGTTATTTAGAAGCCGTTAAAGCAAAAATCTCCGATCATATGCATTTTACCCAACCCGAAACGGATACCGTCTGGACTATTAAGATATCTGTTGTAGCAAGGAAATTAACACACGTTGTCCTATTTAATATTTATTATTTATTTGTATTTTAAGTAAATACACATTTTGAATGAAATATGTATATGAATACTAATTAGACATAATAATGCTACCCACAATAAATCGTTAATTAATTAAAAATTTATTCCCCACGTGCGAATATATTTTGGCAGGTTTGTTTAAATTCAAATTAAATATAAATTAAATAATGTTTTGTGTTAAATTTGATCTACCTTTTGTAACATAAAAAAATTTAATTTCGTGGCATTAAACAGTATCAGAACAAATCCTTCTGTAATACATCGATTAATAATTCCTATCAAGCCTTTATTCCCTTCCAAAGTGGATCCACACGACCAAACCAGCTCATGAATATTCCTTTCCTAATATTAAAATCCCAAAAATCCCGCAACTGCCTCAAATGCTAATGATGTATTCCACTTTTACAGCTAAACGTTGGAGGGAACACCTCTGTGTTGTGTGTGTTCATCGTAACGCTGCTGCACTACTTCCACATCACCACGTTCTTCTGGATGTTCGTCGAGGGTAAGTACTGATGATGAATTTGATAGATCATTTCAATAAGCGTTTCACCTATAGCATAATATAAATACTAAGTAAGCAAGAGGTGCATGTCTGATTCTACTATCGATCGATTGACTTTAGTTGTAGCCAACTAATTGATGAATCATTCTTTAGTTGTATGTCCCTGATACACCCATTCACTTTGTAGTTAGTTTAATAAGATGTGGGCAAAAGTGTAACAATGGCAACATTCACTCCTCAAGAACATTATAACGTATTATTACATACAACGCTGTACAATTGAAAAATTCAAAATGGCGGATCCAATATGGCGGATTAAATTTTAAAAAAGTCGAATAAACTGACAAAAATAGGTGTTTCACACAACACTGATTACGAATTTCATATTGAAATTGAAAAATTTAAAATGTCGGATTCAATATGGCGGACGAAATTTGACAAAGTGGAATAAAATAACGGAGGTGGATATTGGGGTTTTTGACCGCACTGATTATGCGAAAATTCAATTTATTGTAAAGCAGACAAATTACAATTCTTAAAAATTAGTCATTTCATCATGTTATACTGTTGAATATTGTTGAAAGTCACGGGCTTGGAGTTAAAGCTTTCTTTCTTTAATATTATTTGTTACTCAAATTTTAATACGCATAAATGAATATTTGAGTGTTTTGGGTTTGGAACTTAGCAGATCTGATCAGGTCAAACGGACCTCGGATTCGGATTAAGCGACCTCAAAAACGTATACATTGGTTTACTTTGTTGGCAATTGATTCTCTACATTTGACCTTGAATTGACCTTAACGCAGACCTGATCGGATCAAACAGACACCGATTTCGAATTCAGCGACCCCAAAAACATATAGATGCCAGGGTCTTGTCTTTCAAATATTCCATTTTTTCTGTGGTGCTGTGAATTGACAAAATCGCATCGACTATCCATATATATGTCATACTCGAGTTTTCTTTCTCTTTATTTACTTATTGCCCTTTACTATTCTACTTATGTGTATTTTTCCAAACATTATTTTATAATAAGTGCAATACTTTTTTCACTTTTTGTTCGATATTAATGCACACGGAGAGAACAATTTCTTGGTTGTCAACAAAGTTCATTTACAGTAAACAAATGCTAATATTTAACAAATATAGTCTCAAAGGTTTTTCACTTACCTATAATACAGAGTATCCCATTAATTGGACATTAACTAAGGGATGATAGCTGGCATCATACCTACCTATGCGATGGAAAATCCGCATGCCCTCCAAGAACACCATCTTCAACATGAATTTCAGCAAACGTTTGGTGTGACATCCTATGGAATTGTATTGTGGGAACATTTGAACTGCCACCTAGACTTGACGGAGCAATATATCTCAGTTTTTTAAGAGATGATTTACAAATTCTGTTAGATGTACGTTTAACTTTAAGGCGGGTCACTTGGTAAATGCATGATGGTGCTCCAGTACATTATACCCTAGAAGTTGGGAATTACCTAGATGAAGTGTACCATCATATGTGACTTGGTAGAGGTAGTGTACACATGTGGCCAGCACATAGTCCCAATCTCTATCCCCTAGGTGTTTGTTTTCTAAAACGGTCTACTTTTTTGACTTCAGTAAAGTATATCTTTTTTGTATAAAATTGAATGTCATTTGTTTATTTTTATTCGAAAATGCACATACAAGGTGGGCAAAGAAGTTACCAATGTTGCTGTAGGTGGCGTCATCTAGCGGCAATGGTGAAAATGATACCATTTTCATATTACGCATGCTGAGTAATAACATGATACCAAATTTCATCAAAATCCGTTGAACAATTTTCAAGCTGTTCCCCTTTAGCTAATGTCCAATTAATTGGGGAACACTTTGTATATTTCAACTCGAATGTATTCAAAAATTTCTTCCCATATTGGTCCATTGGGATTTAGGCTTTAAATATAAAGTTGTAACATTCTGAATTAAAAGGTAAAAGGTTAGCAGATAAAAATAATTTGACAAGGTGATTCACAAACGGTGACCAAAAATGAAACCTCGTATTCTTTGGTGAATTTTAAAGGGAGTCTTTCGTATAAAGTTTTTATCTACGACACTTAGTTAAAAAGATACAGGATGTTAAACTTAAAAAAAATATTTTTAATTTTTTTTTAAATAATTTAAAAACTAGTACTTACCTTAAGTGAAACAATTTGAAATGGGCACATGTATTTATGTAAACATTGTCCAAAATCTGAGCATTTTCCTAAAATTATCACCAAAAAATTATCGAGCATGCGGTGGCAAGCATTTCTCGGCCAGACTTCCTATTCTGGTCCTGGTTCGATTCCTGGCGTCGGCACTGGTAATGTCGATGGTGTTTACGTTTTTTCAAGGTAGCCCCCTTCCGCACAGTCGTTGGCTTTGGATTTGGGGATTGTCTCATTTCTGTGGTAAAAAAAAATTAGATGTTCTAGTGACGGAGATATAAGGTACTGGTGGCATATTTTTTAAATAAAATAGTACGCCACTGTTTTACGTCTTTCATTCGTCTTTCAATTTTCTACAAATTACTATTCTCTTATGTTTTTCGAAAAAAGCCTGATTTTCGGGTAAAACTTATAAAACGAACTGAAAACATACTTTGATATTCGAATAAAATGCGGTTTAAAATTGCAGCGATAGCAACTTTGGCATTCTGAGCAGTTAGAAGAGAGAATAATTAATGCTTTTCATCAGATTCAAGCAATAATAAATTTCAAACAACTTACATTTTCGTTACTAAAAAGATGTCTAGCCTTTGTTCGTTGAAATGGAGGTATTTTTGAGCATTTGCTCAAATAAAATCATTAAAGTGATGACTAATGTTATTAATTTCTTTATTCAAATAAATAACCGAATGATTAGTGTTTGTCAGGTCATTTAAGTAAGTGTTTAAAATTCAACAGAGAATACAAGGTTTCATTTTTGGTCACCGCTTGTGAATCACCCTGTATATCTGGTAATTTATTTTTAAACTGAATTATTTTTTGTAGAAATAAATATATGTTTACCTTAAATTACGTAATTCGAATATAACAATATTAATTCATCCACATTATTTTTACCATATTCAAATAAATCACCAGGAAATTCTCACCGTCTTGTCATTTGTTTTGAATCACTTTGCAATAGTTTAATGGAAGAAACTTAACAGACATATTTAGTCCATTCCCATTCACACTCTCCGAAAATAAACTATAAACATTTAGGCGATAGCCAGGTAAATTTATAGCTGTCTGAGATGCTGCCGGTTAGGAGAAGCTCTTTTTCAGAGCCACCTTGATATATAAGCCCCTTATACCTAAATGTATGGCGTACTTTTGCTCAAATATTCTACATTCATCAACAGGTATGTGTGTTGGAACGTGAGAGATTCGGTATTACAGTAAATGTTGCAAAATATTTTCGTATACAATCCTGAAAGGGCTACTTTAATTCCAACTTTCTGTTTAGATGAATTCAATAAGTATTTAAATCCAAATATATTTCTGGTAACTTATGTCACAACAAATTATGAATATTTCAAAAGTACAACCTCCAATCTCTCTATACAGGGTGATTCAGAACTTATCCAAAAAAAAATTCTGGATGTATAGGGGACCCTTACAAATACAATTTTGTAAAGAAAAAATCAAAAAGGGCAGTTCGAAAATGATTTAAAAACACACTTCTGCACGACACTGGAAACTGGTCCACTGTAAACCACAATGCGACCGGCATGGCGGTGTGATAAAGACTGACAAAAACTTTCGCAAGGAAAGAAATGTAAATAAAATTTTATCGCACCTATTTTATATCGCAAATTCAATTGCTTTTGCCCTTATTAATTTATAAAATTATTTTGTGTTTTTAAATAATAAAATCATTTGACATACCCGATGTTACAACAATTGTGCAAAATTTTATTCACCAACGTGTAAACACATTTGGGTCCGTTGTACTCAGTTTCTACGAACTAACGCAAATGTTGTCTTGCTTCACCATAACACAAATGCTTCACCATAAATTAAAATGATATCCATCAACTCCGAGTTGCTATGCCTACACGCAAACCATTTTTGACACTAACTACTAAAAACCTTTTGTAAACACCACTATCCCAACCACGATTGCAAAATCCCATTTCAGTATTCGGAGTCGCTGAGGCCACGTGGCGAATGATGCTAGAGACTACAGTTGTCCAGCTATGTAGTGGTTGAATGTACTATAACTTCAATATTTTTTTTCTATAAGGATTTTACAAATTTTTTTTTACAATATTGATTCCATTTCTCATGCTGCATCTATTCCCAAATTTTTTTTGGATAAGTTGTGAATCACCCTGTACCTATAACGTCCTTTGTTCTAATGGACGTTTGACCATATTTAGTGTCTGAAATCCTTATAACCAAGTGTCGATTGTTCTTTCTAAACAGTAAAATGGCGTTTACCCGAATTGAAACAAAACGAATCGATATCAATGGAACAGTAGTGCTGATTTTTTCATTTACCTCCACAAACGAAATATAATAAAAAAGCCTTTCCACTCTTTCCAATACAAAACAGTTGCAATTCCTCTGAATAGTTTTTGAATATGCAGATAAAAACTTGCAACTCAAAGAAAGGGCATTTTTATTTTATTTAAATCATTCATGATTAGGCAAACATTCCCTTCACGCGGTTCCCAAAACGTAAATGTAAATATTTGTAATTTATGTATGTACTCATACACAATCGAAAAAAAACGTCGATCCCAAAACGTTCTCTAGGGGTTCGTCTTACCAGATATCTGTCTAGCAGGGCAAAAACACTAATTGTAACGGCTCAGCATTGCGCTCCAAGGACAGATTATGCAGATGACTTGATCTACGCTCCAGTCGTTGCCCCATGGAGCAGTTGCCGCAAGAAAGGAATTACAAATCTTTTGCTCTCAGTTTGCACGGGGGCGTTATAAAGCTGAATTTAATTTGTCGAACTGCTAGTACGCACCGTTCCAACAGGCGTAT